TGAATGTTGATGCGCGAATTCGTGTATGCAACATCGTGGTGGGTTGTCACGTTACTATGTGGTCCGTACTCTTGGAATTCCTTTAATATACATAAATATTCCTAGTCAACCAAGAGGACTAACTTGTTATTTATTCTTTATGAATTATTCCTTTGTGAATTTATGACTCAGTGGCATAGGAGGTGCAGAAAAAACCTACATGACAGCACCGTTAGCTAATTTTCGGCAATGGTGAATTTTTTATTTGTACGTTCAGGAAATACGAATTTTGGATAGTAGATGTGGTTGTCCAGAAAACACCGCTACCATATTCTTCTAATTACTTGACCCTACAGATTACAAAAGAAAGGGGGTGGATTGCTAGCCTCAATGTCACTGCGACCCAAATGGATCTATTATGACCCCCATATACACTTTCTGCACTGCATTCAGCTTTGTTGCTTTAATCAGACTCCATAGCCTTGACACAGGGCCATGCATTAAGCTTTCCGTTGTTGGATTTGTCGTTGCCTCTACTCAAAACCGTAGCCTTGCCAGGGCTTCGCAGCGACACAGGAGATATACTGAGGTTTCGTCATACTCGCTGCAGGAACCGCATGTGGGCTCTTCTGCCAAGCTCAAGAGCCTCTTATGTCGATTTAGACGATAGTCATGAGACCCACTATGGTCCTTATTGCCTCCCTATCAAACTTAGGTAGGTCTCCTGTAAATGCAGGTCTTTGTTCTTTGATGAACCGTTTTCCCTGCCTTTGTCCTAATTGGTGGTTCCACCATTCTAGGGACTTTTTCTTGGTCCAATTTCTTATAAACTATTTAGTGCGTGTTCTCGTCACGCCACAGAAAAGCTATGGACCTATAAGGTCGAGCTAGCTTATGCGATTTTTAATTAACTTTATGCCCTTCATGTCCGGGTACCGAGAGCAATGTTCCTTGTTTCGGATCTCCAGCTCCTTGAGAGTGAACTTAATGCCTCTATGGCTGCCTAGCTGTCTGAACAAATGACGATCGACTGCTTGTAGTCTCATTCCTTATTAGCTCTTTTGCACAGACGTAAGTCCGTTACTTTAGCCTGGAATATTGTTGTGATATTGCCTAGACTCATAGAGATCTCAGTCTTTGGCCTTGTCCCATACATCCCAGCTCCAGCTCCGTCTCAAGTTCTCGAGCCGTCTGTGAACCAGTAGCAGTTGGCATGTATCGTAGGTCCTCTCTTTCACGCTTTTCTGTCGGGTACTACTATTTCTTGATAGTTTTTATCGAACTTGTACACTGGGACAGTTGTGTCCGTGGGCATTACCAATATAGGCTCTGCCTTCAACTCCTTGTAAAGTTTTTGATGTTAGTCTGTGAGCCACTCGGAATAAATATGTGAAATGGTGGTAGGTTGAGGATCTCCAACGCTGCAGTGGGTGCGGTATGCATAGCCCCCGTGGCGCTCAAGCAAGCTAGCCCCTGTATGCCACTCAATAGCCTTACCGCTCCCGACTGCGTAGCTTTTGTCCACCATGTCACTGATCCATAGATTACCATGGGTCCCACCAACTTCTTGTATAGCCACCAATTTATCCCACACATCTACCTTCACCTTTTTGGTCCAAAATGACTTCAAGGTATTTTATCTCACTGACATACCCCATGCAGGGTTAGTGGCATGAGGTCTCCATGTACCCTCCTTAACATACTTTCTTAAACGAGTATTTAATAGTGAAAGCATGACAATTACAATTTTTTGAGTAAGTGCTAGTCACTAGTCTCGTGTTTCGAGTCCCAAGCTTCCTCGCGGAACAAAACCTTTAGACGAACCCAAAATGAACAACAATGTAACTATAAATTAAGCTACCTAACTGTACTGGACTAAGATATTCGCAGCATTCTCTAATACACTCGGTTTGCCGGCAATAACGGCCAAACGAACGGCCATTTATTAAACTACTTGGAGTCGCGAAGGGACACGGCGTCGTCTATTGGGGAATAGATGGGGGCAATTTGTGATACTGTCGATGCCGATTCAGACCACACTAATGTGTGTCAAGCTTCACTGGATAAGCTTGGGTCGCACCTAATGCATGAACATTTGTTAATATTATAGGAATATAATCGAGTTCTCTTCAGTTACTGTCATTCTGACGGATCTTGGATTCATATACCCATAAATAAACGTTATTAGCCATGTTTACACCGTGGGTTAACATCGCACCATTTGAAGAGATGGCGCAGTATCAGCCCGTTTGAACTGAGCGCTAAGCTGAGCCTGTAAGGGGAGGCTGTTTAGATAACTGGAAACTATGTCAAATACACCGTCGATTGGTCAAATACGTAATTTGAGGTTGGTGATTTATCACCGTTTTGTATCACCCGCCAAATTTCAGCTCAATTAGGGAGATAGTTGCTCGTGAAAATGCCAAGTTTTGCTTCTCCTTAGAAAGTAGACAAATATGCCAATATTAATTTATTCCAATTCAAAAACCTTGCCACTAATTGGTTTTAAGAGAGGCCGGGCTGAACGTAAGGAAAATTAAATGTGTAAGATTTGTGAAAATAATTTGCTGATACAAATTGTAAAGTGCCTTAGTAATTTTGGATGAAAGCACGCTGGGCTCAGATTTTTAATTGAAAAAGTATTTTCTAAAAAAGTGTTGCAATGGGAGTCCAGTTTATTCTCACCGTAGAAGATAAACGAACCATAGCTCAATAGTTTTTCCAATAAAACTAGTTTGCTCAAATTAGCCTCTACAACTGCGCGGAGTACATCAAAAATGCACAGTTTGTTTCGATTGTAGGATCAATAGCTAAATAGAAACGGATGGCATTATCAAGATGATTAGTTCGCAATGAATTAATAGCTACGGTATGCAGCATTGCTTTTGTATTTGTGTTCGTATCTGTCCAGTTAGTATGAGTAAACGCGCAATTTTCGAGTGGAGAGATGATAAATGGAACAAAAAAACCAATGCTGGGTTGTTGATTTAATGCCAATTCCACTTCCCATACACATAATCAGAGAAGTGTTGTATTCGCAAATATTTTCAGTGAAGTAGCATGTTATTTGGATACTGACCGGTAATGTTATTGTTGTTG